TTTCTGAAGAAGGGTCTAGGCCCGAAACGTCAGCTTTCCTGCTCCTCTGATGCTGCTTGGCCTGCTGTGTTCATCCAGCTCTACACCTTGTTATCAGAGACAGACTAGCGCATGGTTTAAGACATGAAGCAGTCCAGAAGAGGTTACTAATGGAAAGAATTCTAGAGTTAAAGAAAGAACTGGAAATAGCAGTTTTGAAGGAACTAGTAGCTATGGAAGCTCAACAGCTAAGCTCAAGCATAAGAATTCATAAAATGACAACCGAGACACAAACATCAATGTAAACTCAAAATTACCATCAGTGTGCAAAACCAGGTCATTCATCAGCAAATAACTAGTATAAAGAAGTTCTATGCAGAAACTTAAAAAAAAAGCGCATTTTGAACAGGCTTGTTTCAGGAAAAAACATGAAAAACATACAGCAAAAGGACAGAAACCAAAGAACAGATAGAAAACTTACATAGTACAAAAAGGACATGAGAAAAGCCTAGATTCTCAGTCCAACAAGAAGTTGTTATTAAATACACTGATCATAGATGGTGATATCAACTGATGCCGATAAGAACTAAGGTGGACACTACAGCAGTGGTTTCACTGGTACCTCAAAGTGTGTATCAGAAGCAAATGAGTCACTTTGTGCTGCGTACTAAGAATGTACAAGGCAAAGTGGTGCTTGTAAAGATTTGTATCAACATCAATGTTCATTTATACAATCAGTTAGAAGCTTTATCCATACACATCACAAAAATAAACTTTCCATCTTTATTCAGAAGAACGTGGTTGGAGAAAATCAAACTCAACTTTGCTGAAGTAAATCACTTATCAGATTCTGAGACTAAACTATCATAAATTCTAAAGAAACATGCCATTGTTTTCAAAGGGGATGCTGTAAACATGGAAAAGATCTCTGTCAAATTGAAAATCAAGGATGAGAATCAAGCAAAATATTGCAAAGCTGGAACAGTGCTTTATACAATTAGATCGAAGGTCAGGGCAGGTTTATAGAGGCTGATGGAGGTGGGAGTCCTTGAACACAAATGTGAGCAATTGGGCCTATCACATGCCTATCATACCGGTGCTGAAGAAAGATGCATCAGTACACATCTGCTGTGATTTTAAGGTCACTATTAATCTACTTATAGAATCACAGTGGAATCACAACTGCACCTGTGAAATTAAAATGTGCTTAAAATAATCAGCAGGTCATGCAGAATCTGCGAAGGGAAATATAGTTAGCATTTCAGTCAACAATCTTTCATCAGAACCTTGAACTGGAATTAGCACTATAACTCCAGCCACCAAAGAGAAAAGGAGTCAGGAATGAATGTACATGGCACTGCAGCTGCTGACACATGCACAATTCTAATGCCTTTCTGGTTCGTGGTAGCAGCTTTAGTGTTGCATATACAGCTGCAAAGCATCAAATCCCATGTGGGATAAACTTTGCAATACATCACATATTTCCAAACTGGAAATGAAGACTTCAGGTTTTAGTAACAGTCTTCTGAAGCAAGTTCAAAAACTTTTGTGAAAGCAATTCTCAGGCAGCTCAGCTGATCGTTAATGAGACTGTTAAGTCCAGCAGCATGGTCTCAAACTTCACATCGGCCAATGACTTTTTAGTTAGTACTGTCTATTTATTTATCAAAGGATAATTCACTGTAGAAAACAGAACAAATCTATTTGATAGAATCTGTAAAATGTTCCACTCAAAAAATGTGTTCCAATTTGTTTCAAATCAGAATTTTAATAATAATGACTGATAAACGAAGAGAGTATTTTGAGGAACAGTCAACCCTAAAATGATACTGTTTTAACTGACTCACTACTATCAAGCCTCACTTTGCGTCTCAAAACTTAATCTAGGACGACTAATTGCAAATGATAAAGTCACAGACTGATTCATTACAGCTGACACCATAGGCCAGACTTTCATTCCTGGATTGAGTGTGGAAAGACTGGAGAGTTCCTGTCTCCACAAACCCAACCTTAAAAATGGCTACACTGCTGTTGGATTTTCAGTCCATGGGTTGGGCTGGATCAGATATTGAGGCAGCTGCTCGATACAGAGGTGAGCTCGTTGGAATGCCTGTGTATTGGATCCAACACTGTGGATGAAGTTAAAAATAAAGAAGGAAGCATTAATATATATCTATACCAGTGAGAAATCTTTTGTAAATAAAACATACCATTAGTGATCACAGGTTTAAAATTCATCTCATCAGTTCCATCCAATGATTCAGATCTTTTTCTTCTGTCAATGGGTTGATTGCTTTTGACTGACTCGTGACTGTGCTTAGATTTTGGACCAGGTCGCCTGTCTACAACTTCACCTGGAAAGACACAATCAAAATATTTAACATCTATGGTATTTTCTTTACTTACACCCGAAGTGGGTCCTGTCGTCAACATGGAAAGGCAAATCAGAACAGAACTTATACACTTAATGGTAAGGTAAGGAGTGGTGTTGAACAAAGAGACCTTGGAGTGCAGATAAATTGTTCCTTGAAAGTGGAGTCACAGGTAGATAGGATAGTGAAGAAGGCATTTGGTATGCTTGCCTTTATTGGTCAGTGCATGGAGTATAGGAGTTGGTGCGGGGGAGGAGGGGGGGGGGGGGAGCAGCATGTTGCAGCTGTGCAGGACATTGGTTCAGCCACTTTTGGAGTATTGCATGCGATTCTGGTCTCTCTGCTATAGGAAGGATGTTGTGAAACTCAAAAGAGTTCAGAAAAGATTTACAAGGATGTTGCCAGGGTTGGAGGGTTTGAGCCATAGGGAGAGGCTGAATAGGCTGAGGCTATTTTCTCTGGAGCGTCGGAGACTAAGGAGTGACCTTACAGAGGTTTATAAAATCAGGAGGGCCATAGATAGGGTAAATGCCAAGGTCTTTTCCCCAGTGTGGGGGAGTCCAAACCTAGAGGGCATAGGTTTGAGGTGAAAGGGGAAGGGTATAAACGAGACCTAAGGGGCAACTTTTTCATGCAGCGGGTGGTGCAAGTATGGAATGAGCTGCCAGAGGGAGTGGTGGAGGCTGATGCAATTATAACATTTAAATGGCATCTGGATGGGTATATGAATAGGAAGGGTTTAGAGGGATATGGGCCAAAAGCTGGCAAATGGGACTAGATTTATATAGGATATCTGGTTGGCAGAGACAAGTTGGACCCGAAGGGTCTGTTTCCATGTTGTATATCTCTGTGACTCTATGACTTGAAAATACTGGAACGAACAGAACTACAAAACTTCGCAGTTTATATAGCCCATCCTAAATCTTCACAATAGCAAAGAGAAGAAAATAAACAATGGAAATGCAAATCGTTTTCTTCTCTGGTATAAAGAAGAAAGTACGAATTGTTTCATCTTATCTATCCTCACTATCTCTTATCAAATCATTAATGCAAGACAATAAACTATTTAAAAGTAAACTACCTATGCACCTTTCTCTTCTGAATGTAAGCCTGCAATCTCCAATTTGTTGCCATCTCAAAACAACTACTTTGATTCAATTTACCTATTCCCTTAACTGGTAACAATATCTCCCCTCACTATTCTCACTTCCAGAATAAAAAAGTTTCTTGATTTCACCTCATAACTCAGATTTGATTAGTTTCGTTGATTTTTTTGTTCGCAATCCCTCAAATATCCAAATTATCCCTGGAAAATGCTGTTAACCTTTTTTGCATGTAGCAACAATAAATGTAAAGTACCAGATGGGGTTGCACTAAGATTAATCACCTCCCGAATTCTGTTCTTCGCTCTGGCTACTTATCACAAGGTCCAGTCAAATTTCATTACTCCTGCCACACAGTGTACTGTTCGTTTGGACAGATATCCACCAAAAGCTCCAGTTTCCCTGCACAAATTGTATCCTGTACCAGAGGCCAATTAATTTAGATTTCCGCTGTTTATTTCCTTTTCTCTGGTGTCATTAATTTTCCATTTTTCCACATTATGTACAGTTTGCCACTCAGCAAACCATATTCAGAACTTATCCAGGTTCTGTTTTACTAGGTTTGCCTTGTTATTGTTAAATTTCATTCCTGCTTAAACAAGCTTAAATAATTTTTGTCAGGGCAAAACTAAGCTTCCATTTTCCCTGATCCTAAAAGTGAAATAAAATGTATCTGCTTGATTCTTTCTGGTTCTTGCTGTATTTCTCAGCAGTCTTCCCTTGGCAGTGATGCTAGAATGGATTACCATGCCAGGCACCAGTTAAATTTGTAGTTAGTTCATGATTTTGACATCAGGAGCAGAATACGTACATTAAAAAGGATCTCACCAACTTTGAACAGATGTTCCTTCCATCTGCTCATTAAAGCAGATTAAAATTTAGAAAGTAGTTTCTGGTGGCTTTCAAGCCAATAAGTAACATGGCTGAATTTAATTGCCCTTTTCCCAGCTCTAACAGGGAGGTGGGATTACAAACATCCCTGTGATCTTAGATGGTAACAGTGGATAAATCCAATCCCCGAGTGAAACCTGGATTAATAAATTACGTGCTTAATTTTTGCAATTGCTAACCATGGTTAGTAACTTAACTTTCACAAGAGGCTGCCAATATTCTTTAACAAAAACAACACAAGTTATTACACAAAAGAAAGAATAACACTCTCTTTCCCTCTACAGATTAGAACGATTCTATCGCCAAAAAGTAACAATTAAATCTTTTCCCTGGCAATAATCTTTCCATATAGTCAATCCCAATGAAATATCAATCCCATTTAACTCTATTTTTTTCTTAACTGACTCTTTCCAAGATAATTCGTTCCCACTCCAATGGCCAAAACTCTTTTCAGTTCCAACAACTGGAAACTTCACAAACTTACAACCTGGAGATTCTACCGACCTAAAGACTATCCTTCAGCTAGAATGAAATGTTCTCCTGCACTGAAACTGGATTCTCCTGAACTGACACCTGATTCTAATCTGAACTCAAAGAAACTAGGAGGTCCTGGCCCATTTTCTCTCTATATCATAAATGTTCAAATTTGTAAACACTTCATCAAACACATCACAGAAAACATACTAGGCACTGACTGAAGTTACATGCTTTCTTGGAAATGACATATTTACTTCACAGTTCCAAACACCGTTGACTTCTTAAAACAGAACTGAAACCAAAATTTATCAACTCTTATTTTGAAAATCCGAATTCCCAAATAATATATTTTATCACAAAACAACTGAATAGATCCATTTTACAATATCAATGCGATATGTCATTTTTGATTTTCTAAACTTCTACTTAAATTTTATTTTGGATGTTAGAAATTCGAATTTCTGCAAGAAATGGAAACTGAAAACTGCAGATGAAAATGTAAAGAAAACAATGAGTAGCAGGTTTCTCTGATGTGTGTGCACTTCAAATTCATAATGGAAAGAAAGTACTTATTTTATATGGAGATATGTGTGGTTTCAACATTGACAATCAATGTGACAATCTCTAGATGCCCTAAAGCTAATGGTGGGCATTCTCCAAGTACTGAAAGTTCTTGAACAACTATGCTCCCACTAATGATGCTAAATTTGGATTTGCAAGATGATAACACAGTGATAACGTAGTAAAAATGATGCATGTCCAAGGTACAATGACATAGAGTCATAGAGATGTACTGCATGGAAATAGATCCTTCGGTCCAACTCATCCATGCCTACCAGATATCCTAAATTAATCTAGTCCTATTTGACAGCATTTGGCCCATATCCTTCTGAACCCTTCTTATTCATATACCCATCCAGATGCCTTTTAAATGTTGTAATTGTAGCCACCTCCACCACTTCCTCTGGCAGTTCACTCCATACATGCACCACTCTCTGCATGAAAAAATTGCCCCTTAGGTCCCTTTTAAATCTTCTCCCTTTCAACTTAAACCTATGCCTTCTAGTTTTGAACTCCCCTACCCTGGGGAAAAGACCTTGACTATTCACCCCATCCATGCCCCTCATGATTTTATAAACTTCTATAAAGTCACCTCTCAGCCTCCAACGTTCCAGAGAAAATAGCCCCAGCCTATTCATCCTCTCCCTACAGCTCAAACCTTCCAACTGTGGAAACATCATTGTAAATCTATCAGGGAGACCAGAATTACACACAGTATTCCAAAATGCAACTTTGAATGGAGCTTAGAGGCAACTGTGGTCCCACACATTACTGCTTCTGGTATTCTTGGTGGTAAAGGCTGCAGGGAAGGAAAGTATTATTGAAGAAACCTTTTACTCTCATGTACTTTATAGTTCAACCATACTAAAATAATGTTGCAACCTTGGAGGATGGGTAGGTACCGAGTCTAATAGCAGATGTACCATGTCTAGAAAGGATATAAGCTTCTCGATTGTTATTGCCACTTCTTCAAGCATGCAAGCAGCAAATATTCCATGACATCCCTGGTGAGCTTTCTAAATGATAGAAGGAATTCTGAGGTTCAAGCTCTGAGACATTTGTTGCAAAGTACCCAACCTCTATTATTGTACCACAGTATTGATATGGCATATTGAATTCTGGTCAGGAATGACTCCTCAGAATATTCATGGTAGAAGGTAGAACAATCAGAAATCATTGTACCATTCAAACTCAAGGGGAGATTACTGGGTGCTCTTTTTTCAGAATGGTTTTCATCTGATCTTCATGTGGTGACAGCTTTACTTGCAACTTCCAAGTCTGGGTATCATACTGTGTCACAAACAGTCCTGGGCAAGATTCTCCAATATAGTCCCAGCTGAGAAGGGATGAAATGGCTTCTCTTATTTATTAGCTTGCTCTGTCATTTGATCACAACAAGGTTAATTAAAAAGGATCTCCTCTCTGATAGATACCCTTCTCTCATATCAAATGAATTAGTTTTAAAACAAGCCAATTTAACCAAGCTTTGAGCTTAAAAAAAAAGTGAGGTTATTGGTTATTACATACAAAAATAAATAACCCAAGTCAGCTTAGACAATACATTCTAAACCCAGGTCTACTAAAATCTAGAAGGACAAAGGCAGTAGATATATGGCAGCACCACCATCTGCAAGTTCCCCAACAAGCCATTCAACCATGCTAACTTGGAAACATATTGTCGCTGCTTCAGTATCACTGGGTTAAACTCCTGGAAGTCTCCCCATAATAGCATTGGGTGTTTACCTACAACAAATGAACTGCAGCAGTTTAAAAAGACAGCTCACCATCATCGGAACCAGTGATGAGAAATAAATGCTTCCACCCTGTGACACACACATTGTATGAATGAACGAATTTTTTAAAAATCACAGATTTGAAATAAGAAATGACTGAAAAGAAATGATACATGTTAAGAGATAAACGTATTAGTCTCTGGGTTGGTCAAGGAGT